GAACCGCTTCCAATGCAGGAAAGAGCCTTCTGCCAACGGTGTTGCTTAGGCGTGCGGCAGAACGCCTCAGAGGGTGGTGTGTACTTGCAGAACACATTTTATTTCAACAGTGAATCATAAACGCTAAGCTGTGAAAGAACTCTCCTAGGACCGGTTCTGTTTGTCCCCTTGCCAACGCCAAACTGCTCCCAGGGCTGCGTTTTCTAACACTCTGTCTGCTCTGATTCAGAAGCGCAGGAGCGGCTTAGCGAGCCGCTCGCTGTCGAGGCGAAGGATCATACGCCCCGAGGGCTGAACTTTGGATTTAAAAGGCCAAGTCATGGAAGGGTTTCATCAGTTTTACTTTACGCGTCTTGGCTACAGTCTGGGCTCTTTGCTCAGGTCCCGCTTGCAGGGGCAGGGCCCTCCCTTGCCTTGCTGGCGGTGGAGCCGGGGTGGGATACACAAGACATGGCCAAGCCCCATACCGAGAGGGAGCATCTCCACTGTCTCATGAAAGGGGCTGCATCGTTACCCCTCCCCATCCAAAGAGGGGACCGGATTTCAGAGGTGCAGATGCTGCTGTGTGCCTCGGGCACATGTGCCCCCAACAGCCGGGGTGGGGCGGCCCCTGGCCCCACGCTGCTCTCAGCACGTAAAAAGAAACCTCTTTGGTTGAAAACAAATTCAGTAGCAGGTTCCTGCCCCACCACGAGCTCCCCAGCCCCGGGCTGCTTCGTCCCCGCATGCCACCGCCAGGCTGTTCCCAACACAGTGCTGGGCAGCAGCAAAGCTGCCACCGGGCAGTCACACCGGGACCCTGCGGGGATGGACGTCACCCCGGTCCCCACCGGCTTCGGTCAGGTCCGCACCTGATGGATGGGCTCTGGGCTGTGCTTCACCACGGTGCCTCCACCCTGGGGAGCGGCAGCGTGGCCAGGCAGGCTGCGAGGATCCATCCATCCCAGAAATCCCCCTCCCACAGCATTGCCAGCCCAGCTCCCAGCGGGCTCAGCCCCGCTTATTTCATCCCAGACCCCAAAACTGCGAAATGGCTTGAACCAGCGCCAGGACGCGTGCATGCCTGTCACCAGGGCTCGCAGGAGACATCGCGGCTGACACAGCACTAATGCTTTGGTAAAAAGTGAAAAATCCCAAACGAACCCCCAAACGGGTGCCTGCTCCCCTGCCGCGGGCTGCCCGTACCGGCACCCCCACGTTCCCAGCCGCGTCGTTTGCCTCCCCCCCCGCCCCCCCCCCCGCCTCTCGGCAGCTCCAGGAGAGGGTTCAAGCTCCCAGAGCATCCCAGCCTCCGCTGCCCCCAAGCAGCGCTCCAGCCTGCAGCAGAGCTCTCCGGGGCTGCCGCTTCCACAGCCCGCATGGAAACTGCCCGACCCTCAGCCCTCCCTTCCAGCCCAAGCCCTCACAGGAGCTTGGCCAGGTTCCCACCAAGGAAACCTTACCCCCTCCCGACCTTCCCGGGGCTCCCCAGCGCCGCTGGCCCCGCGCAGCACCCAGCCCCGCGTGGTGCATGGGCGATGACCCCAGCTGCTGAGGGTGATCTTCAAATCGTGCTGGGGGCACAGGGAGCAAAAGATGCAAGAAGCAGAAAACTCAGGCTTTTCTTTCTTTCTGACCTTCCCTTCCTTATTTTCTTTTTCTCAGTTTCTGTTAAAGAAAAATTTCCAACCAGTTCTCAAAACCACTAAGTCCAGTCAAAAAAACTCACCCTGCGACGGCCAGCTGCCGTAAGATTTCACTTCATTGCGCCTATAAATGTTAATTCAATCAAATAGCAACAGCGTGGAACAGCGTCCCTGCGCCGCACAGCCGGGACCTGCGGCCGCCGCCCAGGTGCGGGGGGGGGAGG